GCCAGAGTTTCCCTTATCAAATGTGTTCAGGAGTTCACCCCTGTGAGGCCTGTCCACCAGAGCCAACCCTGGTGAACAGGCCCCAGCACAACCCAGGAATGCCCGGGTTTGTGTTGTGGTGCACTGACTTGTTTACACAGCACACAGCGGTCGCCTCTTGTAGACTGGTGGTGTAGGCTGCTGTTAGTATGTTTATCTGGTGAGCAGCACCAGTGCCAGGGATACCTGCTTGGTTTCATTCCTTTAGGCTCCTGGGAATCTCCAGGAATTGAAGGGTGTTTGTTGCCTTTGCTACCTGACAATGATCGTTCTTTCTATCCCCACCATGCTGCCTGTTGGATTGATGTTTAAGACCTGGAGTCCTGTGAGGTGTGTTCTCACTAGATCACTGGAGGCTTTCCAAACAACTGCTGCTTTACTGGCTTAGTTTTCTTGTGAAGCACTCGTGGGCATATTGATTAGGTGGAAGCCCCGAAGTTGGCCCCTGTGGTGTTTAGGGGTCTTCCTTTCCCATGATTCCTGCTCCGAAGTGTGTGAGGGTTTCAAAGTCGGGTCAGGGTACAGCTTGGGATGTAGCTCGACCTTCTCCAAGGGGCATCACTTCCATGTCAGAGGTGGAGGTAGTCAAGTTGAGCCTTCTAGTTCCACTCTGGCTTCTTGGTGCTCACTTTCACAACTGCCCCTTGCCCTGAGCCTTCTTCCTGGGGCCTCAGTGGCAGGTTTCTGGGGTTGTGGGGGAGCATGAGGAATGCCCCTTGGGTAGATTTCAGCCCTTCCTGGTTCCCTCACAGAGGGTCTTTAATTGCAGGGGATCATTTTTCTTATCATCTTCTATGTATGAATTGGATTGTTCAGCTGCTCCCCCTTGAATATTTGTGAGAGTGATCGGGAGTCAGGTCACCAGTTTCTTGGAGAGCAATGACATTCACAACCCAGGCCAACGTGAATTTAGAGCGAGAAGATCGTGCCTCTTACAGCTACTTGACCACTACAACAAAATCACTGAGGCATTAGAAAATAAACAGAATGCAGACGTGGTATACACAGACTTTGCAAAGGCATTCGATAAATGCGACCATGGAGTGATAGCACACAAAATGAGGTCAATGGAAATAACCGGTAAAGTATGATGCTGGATGCTCGGTTTTCTATCGAACAGAACACAGAGTAACAGTCAACCATATAAAATCAAGTTCAAGTGCAGTTAAAAGCCCTGTACCTCAGGGTACAGTCCTTGCACCACTGCTTTTTCTTATTCTCATATCATTTAAAGACAAAAATACAAAAGTCACAGCTTCATATCATCCTTTGCAGATGACAAAAAAATCAGAATGAAAGTTACCTCTGCTGAAGACATTAATAAACTTCAAGCAGATATTAATAAAGTTTTTGAATGGTCAACAGAAAATAACATGATGTTTAACATTGATAAATTCCAGGTACTCAGGTACAGTAAAATGAGGACCTTAAACATAATACAGGATACAAAACGCAATCAAATCTGCCCATAGTAGGAAAGCAGCATGTAAAGGATTTGGGAATACAGTAATGACGTCTGACGACCTAATGTTTAGGGAGCATAACCAAGCAAATATTGCATCAGCCAGAAAAAATGATAGGATCGATTATGAGAACGTTCAACTCCAGGGATTCCATCACAATGGTTGTACTATTTAAATAACTTGTACTGTCCCATCTTGAGTACTGTTCAGTACTCGCTTTCCCCTTCAGAGCAGGAGAGATTGCTGAAATAGAGGAAATACAGAGAACATATACGACATACATAGACACGATAAAGCACAAAAATTATTGAGATCATCTCAAAGCTCTCCAAATGTACTCGCTAGAAAGGAGACGAGAGAGATATCAAATAATATATACGTGGAAAATACTGGAGGACCAAGTCCCAAATCTACACAATAAAATAACAATATGCTGGAGTGAACGATATGGAAGAAAATGTAGAATAAGAGCCAGTGAAGAGCAGGGGGGCCCTAGGCACAATCAAAGAATACTGTATAAACATCAGAGGTTCATGGTTGTTCAACATCCTCCCAGCGAGTATACAAAATATTGCCAGAACAACCGTGGACATCTTCAAGAGAAAGCTAGATGATTTTATTCAAGAAGTGCCGGGCTGTGGTGGATATGTGGGCCTGCACGCCACTCCAAGCAACTGGTGGACCAAGCTCCCACAAGTCAAGCTGCCTTGGGCCGGGCTTGAGGAGTAGAAGAACTCCCAGAACCCCATCAAGCAGATATCAAGCAAGCAGGATTTATTTCTGTGTTTTGCTAGGCAATGTAGATTCATTGTTTTTCTGGAGGTTTCTGCCCTCTCGTGCTGCACCTTCTGTGATTCACATGGATTTGCTTTGGTATCCCCTATGGAGTTCAGACCATTTTAGAGAAAATCCATAGGGGCCATGATGAGGATTCGAATCTATGCACTGTGTGTTCCCAGGCACATGCTCCAGTCAACTAGGTCACGACATGGTAAAAAGGATTGCAACTTGGGGTACTACTGCACCCACAAGGATTCCTGAGGCTTCCACTAAAACCGAACCAAAGTTTCACACAATATCCCCCATGCACTCTGGCTCTGTCATCTAGGAATGTTCTACCTCTGATGCTCCTCTTTCTGCGCACATATCATTAGTTTCCAAACCACTTACTCATATGCTTGAAAAACTTACAAAATTCTCTAGCTAATCATTCAGTACAATCTTAGGTCACAACACCAGTGGGCTGTGACACAATTTTCTCACTCTAAATCCATGTTAACCTGGATTGTAAAGTTCATTGTTTTTCATAAAACTGGAGAGTTGATTCCTAATTACTCTTTCAAAGCTTTTATTATGTGTGGTGTTAGTACAGACAGGCTGTCTGACTTTTGGCTCGAATCCACAGTGTGAACCTTAAATTACAATTCTTTCTGTTGGTTTCGGTCTCCCCAAAGTGGACATTTTTGCATTGGTATTGAACCAACACCTTCCCTCTTGGAAGGCTCCATTCCCCAATTGTAAGGCTTGCACTGGGGATGCCTTTTGACTAGACTGGTTGAGGTGAAGTATATTTTATGTATACTACCTACTGACTCCTTGGTAGCCAGCCCAGCCTTGGTTTCCGGTGTTTCTATCCCAGATTCCAAACCCAGGCATTTTTCTGCAGCTCGGCCTCTTGCAGCAGATCAGCCCAGCAGTGTACTTTGTTGATTCGAACTTATCTTTTGCTCTAACACATCTGGAGTTTCTGACTCGCGTCTATCACTATTTGTATGTATTCACCTAGTTGTGCTTGCGGGGGGTTGAGCCCTGCTCTTTCGACCTGCCTCTCGACTGTCAATTAACTGTTACTAACTACTATTTCCCCCCCCCACACACACACCCACACACACACACCCAGGAAGCAGCCCGTGACAGCTGACTAATTCCCAGGTACCTATTTACTGCTAGGTAATGGGGAGCATTAGGGTGAAAGAAACTCTGTCCGTCGTTTCTTGCCGGCGCTGGGAATCGAACCCGGGCCACAGAATCACGTGTCAAGCGTGCTATCCACACAGCCACTGGCACCCTAACCACCCATGTGGGTGGGTGGCTGTTTTGTTGGTGTCCCACCTGCATCTTTGTGGTGACAGTTTGAGGTAGCTTGGCACTCTTTTCACCACTACAGGTATTTGTCTCTTCTTTCTGTTATTTGTCTCTTATATTTCTGATCGTCTCTCTCTCTTTTATTTGTCTCTTGTATTTCTGATTGTCTTCAGTTTCAGTTCACTCTTTTGTCTTGGTTTCATGATCTGCATCGTATGCCAAATACTGTCACCACTTATCATTCGAGTTTAGTGGAGCTGCTGTTACTCACTTTTGGTGTCGACACCTCCGTTGTGCCATTCTGCAAGGTGTCTCGTGCATTCTTCCACCTCTGGCCAGCTCATGCTCCTGAGCTGTTCTGGTCCCTTGACCATGTTTTGGCTTTTCTTTCCTAGCCTCTGTTTATGGTTTCCCCTTCAGCTCGTGATGTTTTTCTCAAGGCAGTTTTCTTTTTGCCTCTCACATCCAGCTGTCAGGTTGGGGAGCTTCGGGCTCTTCTCTGGAGGTGGGAGTTTTGTTCTTTTGGCCCTGGCAGGCATTTTGTTTGCAGCCATCACTTTTTCTGGCAAAGAATGAGTCAACAGGCTTCTGGAAGGGTCCTGTGGTGATGCTTAGTTGATTCAGCGAGGAGTGCATCATTTGTTGTCTCGTGGTGGCTCTTCACTGTTACGGCATGCCAAAGGGTCTGTCTCAGTGGACACCTTGCTGATTGATCCAGTTTCCTTGGTTCCTTGTTCTAAAGCTCATGATTTTCAGGTGTCTTCAGGGAGCTATATGGAGCACCCTCTTGAAACCCAGCATTTAATGTAATGAAACTGCAGTTTCTGGAGGAGCCCCGGTGGTTCCCTGCCTCCTCCCGCCCTTCAGATTCATTGTGGATTTTTCCATCAGGCTCGGGAAGTATGCTGGGAGCCAGTGGTCAGGCTGCCTGGTGGTAGTAATCGATGCTAACGAATTTAGAGCTCATTGAGGTGAATTCCTTGTTCTATGTGATTCGTTTGTGGAATTTGTTTGGCGATTTTCAAGACTTCATTTTCTGTGAACCTTCTAATTGTCTGTAAAGCTGCAATGACTTTC